TCAGTCTATAGCAGCATGTATCATGTGTTTGTGAAGCTACCTATCTCCCCTAATAGACCATGAGCTTCAAAATGGCTAGGACCCTCTCCCAAGTATTTTTGTATCCCCAAGACCTAGAAAAGATCCCAGTATGCAATAAATGAGTGTTTGACTGGATCTTTTTAAAAACACTGTATTGTTTGGAAAGGAGGCATAGCCGCAATTCATCACTTTAGTAAAATCATATGAAACTGATAAATAACTGTACTATACATATATACATGAGCTGATTTGATCATGTTTGTAGAAGATCATAAACTTTTAAGGGCAAGAACCAAACAATACTATAAGTTATTTTAAAATATACAGAACTACAAAAATATGAAAACCCAACATCCCGATATCATGTTTGTTTTAGATTGTTTTTATTTTTTGTCTTGATTCTTTTTTTTAATTGAAGTATAGTCAGTTTACAATGTTCTGTCAATTTCTCGTGTACAGCATAATAGTTCAGTCATACATATATACACATGTTTGTTTTCATATTCTTTTTCATTATAGGTTACTACAAGATATTGAATATAGTTCCCTGTGCTATAAAGTTGAAACTTGTTATGTGTTTCATATATAGTAGTTAGTGTCTGCAAATACTGAACTCCCAATATATCTTCTGACCTCGTTCCCCACCTGGTAACCATAAGTTTGTTTTCTATGTCTGTGAGTCTCTTTCTGTTTTGTAAAGTTCATTTATCTTTTTTTCTTTTTAGATTCCACATGTAAGTGATATCATATGGTATTTTTCTTTCTCTGTCTGGCTTACATCACATAGTATGACAGTCTCTAGGTCCATCCATCTCACTGCAAATGGCTTTATTTTATTCTTTTTTATGGCCACGTAGTATTCCATTGTATTTATTTATACCACACCTTTTTTATCCAGTCATCTGTTGAAGAACATTTAGGTTTTTTCTATGTCTTGGCTGTTGTAAATGGTGCTATGACATTGGGGTGCATGTATCTTTTTGAATTAAAGTTCCCTCTGAATATATGCCCAGGAGTGAGAATGCTGGATCATATGGTAAGTCCATTTTTAGTTTTTTAAGGAATCTCCATACTGTTTTCCATAATGGCTGCACCAAACTACATTCCCACCAGCAGTGTAGGAGGGTTCCCCTTTCTCCACACCTTCTCCAGCATTTATTTATCTGTGGACTTTTGAATGATGGCCATTCTGACTGGTGTGAGGTGATACCTCATTGTAGTTTTGAGTTGCATTTCTCTGATAATTAGTGATATAGAACATTTTTTCATGTGCCTATTGGCCATTTGTATGTCTTCATTGGAGAATGTTAGGTTTTCTGCTCATTTTTGGACTGAGTTGTTTGGTTTTTTTCTTATTAGCTTTTGTGAGCTGTTTATATATTCTGGAAATTAAACCCTTGTCAGTCTCATCTTTCACAAATATTTTCTCCCATTCTATAGGTTATCTTTCTGTTTTGCTTATGATTTCCTTTGCTGTGCAAAAAGCTTATAAATTTGATTAGGTCCCATTTTTTTAATTTCTTTTCCTTTTTCAGTTTTATTATGTAGAATCATTACAGTTCAACTGCACATACACATTGTATTGCATGTAAATACATATATACAGTATACTGCACTTTTTTAGTTTATGT